ACCAAACATACAGGTATAGCAATATCTATCGCTCTCCATTTTGGCTCTTTTACTCCCCTTAGCAATCACTTCTGTCTAATTTTTATCTCTTTTTTCTAAATGTTAATCACTTTATGCAAAAGTAAACGACCGTAGGACGTCCTGCTGTGCATCGGCAGCGGCAAATTGGCTCAGGTTTCATCTTTTTTGCCATCAGGCAGTCAATTTCAAGTGTCCTAATGTTCTATGTAAATATAAGACTTCATTTTAGAGACTACAGTTTTAGTTGTCATCATTGCCTAGTTTTCGAAATTCCCTAGAAAATCGTGCATTTGCTAAGAAATGAGAAAAAGTCTATATTCAGAGGACTTATTGACTTAATCTATTTACAGCGCGTATCACATTTCTGACAGTCTAGTTTGATCTACAAAATTTTATACCCTAATAGTTTTGAGAGAGAAAACAAAATTTGTTGATCAGTCTTTTGATTTGGATTTCGACAGCGAATCGATACGATTAGCAACCCTGAATTCCAAAACTGTGACTGAAATCATGCGAATGCGTTATGATCATGCCATTTCCAGGCATGTCCGATTCGGTAATGGGACGAAGCGCATTCGAAGACTCATACTATGAGGAAGATGGCATCAATGGCAATCAGCATGTGAAGCAGAGAAAATGTGAGTAAACATCTTATTCCATTGAGCTTGGTCAGCTTTCGAATTAGCAAATGAGCTTGCAAAATACTGATTCTGGAGTCCACCTACGTACTCTGAGTTTGCACCGAATTTGGGTGCTTTGTGAAAGCCAAGCATTTTGCTTTGTTTTATATCGGCATAGAAATGCTTTTACATCTAGTCAGAAATTCTAGGCAGTAGCCATGGGGATGTAATAAAAAAAGCAACAAGGACATAAAACCATTATTGGAATTAGTATCTTGGTATAGTCACTAGTTTCAAAGGGGTGTGATTGTACCGAACTAATAGGGAATGAAGTAGATTATAGCATCCAGTATTGATTGTCTTTATTGTACTGATCTGTATTATTGAGTATAAACTATCAGGATGCATCTCCATTACAAGCATAGTTTTGAGGTTGACTGTACTGGAAGGAATTAACCAATTTCTTCACTAAATTACCCAAAAGGCGTTGCTTGCCTGTTGAGTAACTTATCAAAGTTTCGCAGTAATTTGAATGAGCAAAAAATTTTTAGAACTCGAGTAGATTTGCATGTATCTTGTTTCCCACGATGTTTGGACCACTTTTGAAATTTCTTAGACCTCAGGGTTTGCTGAAGGGGAACATACTGAGGCGTTGTCTGGTCTAGCTTTCAAAGACAAATTAATACATTCTGTTTTATTTTCAAAACTGCAATCAAGCGGATTGTGCTAACCAACGGAATTGCTGTGTAATACAAGCTATAACACCACTTATAAAACTAGGTGGGAAATTTTAGTTTCTTATTTCTCAACAGCACTCCATCAGAAGCCAGATGTGGCACCAAATCTACTTTCGGGTGTCAGGCAATTTCATTTATCTCTTCAAATTTGCACCACAGAATTTTTCGTATTTCAATCTGCGCCTGAAAATAATAAGCTCAGCTCATAGAAGGGTAGTGCCTTGCTATTTCTAGACTAATGCTTGCTTAGTGATTTCCATATGGCATGCCAGCGTGGCTGGGGGATAATTAATGCACCCCATGGATCATAAAAGGCCGTTCATTTCCTTTGATTACGCTATACTACGAGAATATCGCAATAAATCAAAAGCGAAATTGGCAATAGCCAACCGTGCAGCACTTGCGTAGGAGCAAAAGGGTTCGGTATCCGGTGATCCTCAAATTTTTACCGGGGTAACAGGTAGTATAGTTGATTTTTTAAAATTGGGATTAGCTTATACAAGCACGCGCACTAAAATTTATTTTTACGCGAAAAACAATATTGCAGCTTTCTTCTCTCCAGACGACTCCAGCGGTATCTCTTCGTGCACAACATCTGATAGCCTCAATCCCACGCACAGAGCTCAGTCAGCTTTCATTCCGAGGTTCATAATTCAACTTTAGTAATTCTTAGACAAACCAAATGTTGTATTCAGACATTCTGATGAAGTTTTGCTAGATATTGGAGATGCTA